CTGTTTTCCCCCAGATGTTTTCCTCCTCCTATTTCAGTGAACACTATTGCTGAGTTTGTTGTCCAAGGCAGAAATCCATGGTCACCCTTGACTCCAAGCTCTCCCTCACCCCTACATCTAACCAATTATAAATCTCAATCAGTGCACCTGCTAAACACCTGTGAAATCCTCCACTTCTCTCCACCCTAACTGACGGCGCCTTAATTCAAGCCAGTCTCTTGCCTGGGTTACTGCAATTGCCTAAATGGTCTCCATAGATCTTCTTGTCCTGCCCCTCAACCCACCCTCCACACAGCAGCCAGAGCAAGCTTCCTAAAACACAGGAAAATGTCACCCCACCTTATGACCTTCAATGGCTTTCAACTGTTCTCAGCATAAAATCCTAACTCCTTAGTAGGGCTTGATCACATCTTCAGCTTTTTTCTCCACTTCTACCAGTTTGTATGGCCTTGGGCAAGTTGCTTAAATTCTCCTTGCCTCCCTTTTCTCATCTATAAAATGGAGTTAATAACGGGCTGTTATGAGAGTTCATTCATCTAAAATACTAGTAACAATGCTCCACAAAATTTATTGCTCTATTATTAGTTAACATTGTCATTTCTCTTGTGGAACTCTACAATACACCCACACAGAACACTTCCACTTCATCAGAGGCTGTGGGCTCTCTCAACTCCACCCCCTCCCACTTTCTGTCCCCTCCCAGTCCTACCCTGTTTCCACCTTGCTCTGCTGACACTAGTCATCTTTCAGGTCTTAGATTAGATGTCACATGCCCCAGAAAGTCTTCTATGCTCCCCAGTCTGGCTAGGGCCTCCCTCTCAGTGCTTTCTTGACCCTAGAACTGTCCCTACTTAAACACTGGTCACTCTGCGTTCACAGGACAAGCTCCTGGAATAAGCTTCCTCAGGTCAGGAACTGTGACTGTCTTTTTCAGAGTTGTAACCCTAGGTCCTAGCACAGTGCTGGCACATAGTAGGTATTTAGTAAATATTTGTGGAGCAAATAATAAATGAATGCTGAGAACACCTCTCCAGAGGTTCAGAAGCTAAGTTTTCCTTAGAAGGAGTTGGATAACTCCAGAGGGCAGAGGAAGGTGAGCAGTCCTGCCCCTCACACTCAGGCATCTGAAGGGGTTTCCATACCCTGAATTTCAGGACTTGTGGCAGAAGAATGAGAAGGTTTTTCAAATGTGAGTAGGAGGATAGCTGCCCCTGCTCTATGAGGGTTGCATACTTGGAAACAAATCAGCTGCCGGGTCATAACATGCTTGGGATGGATTTTCCCCCTAATCAGGAAGGATACTACTCAGGACAACCTGTGCCCTTGTTGGAAGCCAGAACTGACTTGCCTGGTGGGGACCTCCTCGGGAGCAGGGGCAGGCTGACATGATTTCATGAAGCTCAAGGGAAGCATAGTTCACACCAATAGGGACTGAGGCTCCAGCCCTGGAGAAATGCCCAACATCTCAGGCACTGAGTCTATACCCACCCTCCACTGAAGGATTCTTGGAGGAAGACAGCTTGAGAAAGTACAATGGGGCACACTGACTGGCTGTGCTGAGGATTGAGGCTCTGCTGGTGTTGATTACAACCCTTTCCTCCACCTCCTCCACCAAACGTCTATCTTATTGGATATGTGCAGTATACAAAGACCAATGTATGAGAGAAAGGAAACAGGGCGCAGGGTCCAGAGGATGGCATGTCTATCTTCTCCCTACTCATCTGGGACTAGGTCTGGGCCCCATTGGCAATGACAGTTAGTAGCAAAGTATTCAGAGCCCAAAAGGAAGTGGACAGCAGGAACCAATGATCTGGAAACTGAATGTAAGGTGAGAGCTGGGTCAGAATTGCATGAAGCAGCAGCAGCAGCAGAAGCAGCAGCACCAAGCAGGAAATACTCGCTCAGGGAGTTCACCACAGGTACATGGTTCGGGGATGCTGTAGTCAAAGGAATTACAGCATTCGTGTGTTTGCTGAGTACTTATTACAGGTTCAGTCCTATCCTAGGATTCATATGCTTTTCTAAACTGAAGAATCAACTGCACAGGATAGTTCATTATTTGTCATCCACATAAGGCCCCATCACCTTCCCAGGACCTGCGCCTCCTATTGCTTCCATTCATGTTTGTGGAAAATGCCAAAAATCCCCTCACCAGTTAGTCTCTTTCTCTGAATGTACTAACTAGTGGTCATAACAAGCCCTTGACTTACTGTAGCCAATGGCGGCATCCTGCTCAAATCAGGCCCTGTACTGTCTCTGAGCAAGGGTGATTCCAGGATTCTCCTGACCTTCTTAGATTAGGACTGCAGTACAAGTTAGACATTTCTCCTCTTATTTTCTATGTCAGTAGAGCCAATCATGGGATTCATCAGAGGCCTGGGGGATGGAGTATCAAGACAAACATCCTCAGCGTACCCCAGGTTTCTAGGTTATTCTTAGATATGGAGTGGAGAGATTGTAGCCACAGAATCAGGCTGTAAAAAGCAAATAGGCAGTTGTGAAGAGCTGCGCACCCACCCAGGCGCTCTTGCAGCTGTGGTGACTGGATGGTCAGTCAGAGGAAAAAGGGTGAGAAAAGAATTGGAGCTCAGAAGGGAATTTAGGTCTTTCGGTAAAACAGCAGCTTCCAGAGAAACAGATGATGAACATCTAGCTATCCAACACACAAAGGACAAGTCCCCCATTTTGGCAGTCTGAACTGGGATGAAGCATGCCTAGAAGTAAAGCAAGCCCCTTCTGGGTTAATGTAACCAGATGGATATGGGACACCCGCCACTCGTGGCAAAGTGCTTCACATAGCTGGCTGCATTCATCTGTTTATAAAGCCAGAATATGAAACAAAACCTCTTTACCCAGTTTCTCAGAGCCCAGTTGTAGAGAACGTGCCTTTAATTAGAGCCAGACAGCACAGCAGTGGGGCTCAGCTACACTGTAGTTTGGTGCTGCAAGGCAGAAATGTTACAAATGCATTTTTCTAGACAAGCAAAATGCAGAGGATGTTTTAACATCAGATATCTCTCTAGGGAAAGAACATTCTGTAGCTTAGAGAAATAATGCAAGTTTGGGTTAATTTTTGGTTGCTATCTTTTAAAAATAGAACATTCAGACTTTTGTTTGTGAGCAGTGCAATAATAACTGAGATATCATTATTTAGAGATGAAGAAAACAAGGCTCAGAGAGGTTGAGTAACTTGCCCAAGGTCATACAGTCACTCACAGCAGGGCCGAGTTCAAACTCAGCTACTCTGGCTTTCAAATTTTGTTTTATTTATTATTCTTTTTAGTCTGTCTTTACGAGCTCACTTTCTTAAACTTTGTGGAAAACTTGAAAGGGATGTAATGTTTTGAAAGGAAGGGTTGCAAGTCACTGTGTCCAGCAAGTGTGGAAGGAAACAGTCAGTCTGCAAGGTCAATCTACCTTCAGGCTCTTCAAATCAAGATGATTCTTTAAGAATCTTTCCTTTAGGCTCGGCTCCTGTAGCACAGTGGTTACAGTGCCAGCCACATGCATCAAGGGTGGTAGGTTCGTACTGGGCCCAGGCCAGCTAAACAACAACTGCAACAAAAAAAAATAGCCGGGTGTGGTGGCGGGCACCTATAGTCCCAGCTACTTGGAGGCTGAGGCAAGAGAATTGCTTGAGCCCAAGAATTTGAGGTTGCTGTGAGCTGTGATGGCACAGCACTCTAACGAGGGCAACATAATGAGACTCAAAAAGAAAAAAAAAAGAAGCTTTCCTGTAATGACATATGTACAAGGTGTTAAGTGCAACACTGTTATAAAAGGTTTGAAGCAACATAGATTTCCATCAAAAACATAGCAGAGGGCGGTGCCTATGGCTTAAAGGAGTAGGGCGCCGGCCCCATATGCCAGAGGTGGTGGGTTCATAACCCAGCCCCAGCCAAAAACTGCAAAAAAAAAAAAAAAAAAAGAGTAGAAAAGTAACTTACGATGCAAACAATGAAATAATAAACAAGTGCAAAAAACAAAGAGGAAAGTCTTTACATACTGACATACACTGTCACCAATGTATATCTACAAAAAGGCAAGGTACCGAATAACATATGGTTTACCATTTGTGCAAAAGAGAAAAGCCCAAGCGTGGATATTTGCTTATATGGACAGATATCTGGAAGGACACATGAGGAATTGTAACACTTGTGGCCCCTGGGGGGAGGGGAGGAAGTGGTCACTGGGAGAGAAGGGTGACAGGTAGGCACCTCACTCATGTCCTTTTGTACCTTTGATTTCAAACCATGTGAACATATCACCTACTTAAAAAAATGTGTATCTGTACCCTTTTAAAAGCAAATTATAATATGTAAACTTAAAAAAATCCACAATCCCTAAAAAATAGGCAAGTCAATAGTTTCCAACACTTTATGAAACTACTTGGGACATAAAGAACTATAAAAAAGAATGGTTCTCTAGTAGGCAGTAAAAAGGGAGAGGGAAGCAAAGCATCAAAGGAAACAATGCCGTCTCACAATCCTGCTAGAAGGATCCTAGTTTCAAATCATCATTCTTCAACTTCCTGTTTTTCTCTCATTCTCATCCAAGGTAACCAAAGATAAATAAGCTTTTATCCTTATATCTAAAAGCTTCTATGTCTCAAACATCAAAATTGGTTTTCTTTCTGTTTAAAAAGGGGAACAAAAAAGAAAAAAAAGCACATCAAGTTCTCATGTGTGTTCATGATATTGGGTAAAACAGATTTGGAAATATCTTCAGAACATGAGCTAAAGGAAGGGAATTTCCCCCACCCCCAAACAAGGTAAGCAGTGCCCTGCCTCTGCAATAAAAAGGAGATATGACAGGGGGTCAACACAGCCCATCAAGTGTGACTATGATCTTGGGCTTAGTTTCTCAGGCTGACATTCACTCGAAGTCTATCATCTGATACAGTCACTTTCTTGGTTGTAATCTATGAGCTGCCAATGTTTACTTGAGAGACTGTCTGGGAGTTGGAAGGAAAGGAAGGTAAATACACCAAAGCCCAGCTGTGCAACTGACAGGTTTTAACATTTTATTTCCAGGAAATGACATACTGTTTTCACAAAGAAGAGGTTAGCCATCCTCTCAAAATAGAGGCTGCAGTCACAGGCAGCCATGGAGTACACTCAACCTGTCCAAAACAAATGTCAACAAAGTTGCTTCTGAGGTATCAAAATAACAAGAACAAATTAAAAAAACAGAACAGAACTCAAAATAACCAACTCAACCATAGTGAAGCAAAGTCTATGAAGTACCCTGAAGCAGTCAGTGCAGTACGCCTTGGTGGTTCTCCAGACAGGGATGGCAGCAGGGCTGGCCAACGTGGATGGTGAGTGAGGGAGGGCTTCCTAACTCACTCTCTGCCCCACATGGCTCCTCAGATGACCTCCGGAGTGGCTGAGTCGCATCCAGAGAATCCTCTAGGCCATTCCAAGCTCCTACTGCCTGACAGTTTTTCAAAAGCCCTTTGAGCATGGTCTTCAGGACAGTTTCTTTGCTTTAGAGAAAAAGAAAAGGAAAATCAAGGAGGAGCCTGCATGTCCCTTCCTTGGCCATCCTTTGCCTCAGCCGCCTTCCCAGAGGCCAGAGGGAACCAAGAAATGGAGTCAGTTCACATGACTCTCTGCTCAAAGCCCACTCCCTATTCTTCTCAGAGTAAAAGTCAAGGCCCTTTGAAAAGCCTACAGTAAGGCCCCATGCAGCCTGTCTAATTCAACCACACTGGCCCCCTTGTTCCTCCAATACACCAGCATGCTGCCCTGCACCACTCCCCTTTGCCCCACACGGCCACCTCTGAGGGCATTCCTCAGAGACATCTTCCTTAACTACCCTACCGAGAATTGCCAAAGCTTTCTCCATCACCCTCTTTCTCCTTCTTAACTTTTTCCATAGCAATCATCACATTTAACTTACTCAGTTTTTACTTTTCTATATTCCTAGCATCTAAAACAGTGCCTGACACAACTGGGCCCTCAGTAAACATCTGTTGAGGGAGGGAATGAATTATACACATATAGGAATTACACATATAGTATATACTGGAAGAGGCAGAAAGAGAGACAGAGTTCTCTGTTTTTCCAGAGAGAGAGGGGTAAGAAAGGCTATTTACCAGCTTCCAGGCTTTCCCAACAGCTTATGCTTCTCTGATTCCAGGAAATTAGGGATCCTGGTCTACACCAAGGGCACAATAAAGCCACCAAGCAGACTGTCCCCATTCTCTGAGACTGAAGCCTGGGATGCCTTAGTTTGAAAGGACTCTAAGAGCTATCTCCACTTCTGGACAGCCTTTGAGGGGGTGGGCCTCAGGGGTAGGCCTACTTTAGACTTAAACAGGAAGAATCCAGTGGGGTTCCCTTCCTCTTACCTAATGGCCTCACCTATTAGCTTACAAAAAAAAATAGAAGCCAAAAGAAAGATTCTCCTAATTCCCCTCCAGCAAACTTTCTTGCCCCTTGCACTCCCTATTTTCCAAAGAATCATGCCCTAGCCATATCTGGGCTTTCCAGCCTTCCCTGCTTGCTCTACAGGCTCCTTCTAATCAGCAATTGGACATGTTCAGATCCCTCACATCTTTAAAAAACAAAACAAACACTTCCTTTTGTCCCACTTCCTCCTCCAGCTACAGTCACGTTTTGGTGCTAGTCCCTATAATCTTAGTAATAGCCACATTTCAGCAAGAAGTTATCTATTCTTTCTCTACTCCATCACCTCAGACTCATTCCCCAATCATCACAAACTGACTTTTGGCTCCACCATCCCCCAAACATATATTAAAGTCACCATGTCCCATTCAATTGGCAATTTTTCATCCTTATCTTGTTTAACTTCTCAGCAGTGTTTCAACTGTTACCTCTTCACTTCATAAGCATTCATAACCATGAATTTACTGAAGACCTACCACATGCCAAACATTTTTATAGGCCTTAAGAATAACATGCAGAATAAGATACAATCTCTGCCCTCAAGGAGCTTACAAATCTAGGGCAAAGAGCACACTAATAATTTCAATTTGGTCAATGCTTTCAAAGAAATGATAATGAGAGGGGTCTTTACCACAAGGGTATGGCTAGGAAGGCCTAAATCACACCGTTCTAATGTCATTTAATGCCTGTCTCACACGTCCCTCTTTAGTTGCTCCTCATCAGCATTCTGCCCTGTGCTCCATACAAGTATACTAGTCTTCTATGGCCCATTCCCTCCACCTTTTTCTGGAGGCAGAATCTCAAGCCATTGCCCTGGGTAGAGTGCCATGGCATCATAGCTCACAGCAACCTCCAACTCTTAGGCTCAAGAGATCCTCTTGCCTCAGTTTTTCTATTTTTAGTAGAGACTAGGGTCTCCCTTTAGATCAGGTTGGTCTCGAACTTGTGAGCTCAAGCAATCCACCCACCTCGACCTCCCAGAATGCTAGGATTACAGGTGTGAGCCACAGTGCCTGGCCGGGCCCATCCCTTAAATGTTGGGGTTTCTCATGTGACCAGTGGCTCATACTACCCATGAAGAGGGTAATAGGGGAGCAAAATAAAATAAGGAAAATAGAGAAAAATACCCATCTTTACAATAAGGAAAGGAAGGAATAGGAGACAAAAGAGGAGGGAAAAAAGTAGGAAAAAGGGAGAAGTGGTGATAAGAGAAAAAGCTTCTAGTAACAAGTCTGCTAATTTTCTATGCCATGGCAATTGTGCAAATCATGAATTTGTAAGTTAAAAATTATAAAGCATATAGTGTCATACACTATTTGAGTACAAGCATGTGGACACTCCTACCCCATCCTAACCTTGCCAAGATCCATTTTCCCTTAGACAAACACCATCCTATACAAAGCAAGCAGAAATACTAACTTCACACACATGGTCCTCTAGACATGGCTCTCTATAGATTCTTCAGGAACAGGACTGAGTAGGTTAAAAGTACCTGCTAAGAAGTATTCTGTTTGCATAAGTTCCACTTGCCAGACAAGGCTCTTTTAGCAAACAAGAATGGGCAATACCCAGGACACCTGCCCAACAGACAGACGGATACTCTTCAGAGTCTGGGTTCTGCTGGTTTCTCCTGTCCTATGTCTGGACCACCCAATAGCTGCCAAGAGCTATTGGCCATGTGACTTGGCCCAGGCTGACCTTCTCGGAGACCCTCAACTTCTGAAGAGGGACCCTATCTCACAGATTTATAAAAGCTGTGGTTCATAAAACTTTCTCGCCACCTCAGTACACCTGAAGGCCATGGCACACTCTCACTAGTAGCCTCTCTGTTCACTATTATAGCAGCAAGAGTGCTGGGGAATGTAGTTTTAAAAAGCCCATTGGTTAAAAGTCATTGTTCTAAAGGACTAATGAGATTTTATTTCTAGATCATTCACTTTTTTCTTTTCTGAGCACAACTCAAAAAAACTAATAGGAAAAGCAAACAATAAGAGTTTTAACACTCTTGTCTACCAACTAACAACTAATGAGAAGAGAAGAAATGGGAGAGGGAAGTAACCAATAGAAGACTCTGCTCCCTCACCTCACCAGCTCCAGAGGGAGATTTCAGAAAAATCTCATCAACATTCCCAATAGCCACAATGACTCATGTGACAAGAATTACTAAATGTTTCTTATCTGCCCCCATCCAGAGCATCCTTTCTCTACCTCAGGATGCAGCATCCTAACATCCTCATCCTCCTTTTCTTTCCTCTGGCAAGAGGAAGAGTTTGCAAGAGATCCATGGCTAATTGGTCAGAGGAGTTACTCTTCCCACTGTGATCTGGAACTCTAAGACCAGTAAAAGAGACCTAAAATCAAGGCCGCTCTTGGTAAAATCAGAGCACAGGCACATGAGCATGGGTAGCCCCCTGATGACGCAGGCAGGCAAGTCTCCCTCTCTGAATTCATGATAAGAGCAATCTCTGTCCAGGGCCCTGCCACACTGTCAATGTCAATCACAGGTGTGCCAATCCTAGTTCCCAGATCCTGAATTTAGTACTTTGAAAAATTTTCCATGCACAGGAGATTAAACCAGCTTTCAATCAGCCCTGGAATATGCAGAGACGGTTGGTATTTAAACTGAGAATTTTTTCTAAACCCACATTACAGCCCAGTGAAGCTGCTGATGGTTCTGGCACATCTTTCTCTAAATCAGGTCTCAGAACCTACGTCTGTCTCTAGAGGAAACCTCAAAGCTGCACTAGCTGTGATAACTACAGAAACGCAGATGGGTGCCAGAACTGCTCAGTCAATACATGCAACAGAGAGGCTGATTCAGTTAACTATGTAGCCCCCTAGTGTTACCAGAAAGGTGGAGAGGCATCCTCTTTAGCTTTTGAGGGAAAAAAGAGAAGGTATCTGATATTACTTACTCTGCAGAACTAACTCTGTGTAATGGGAGTCAAAGGTGAATTTAGGACATGGGGCTCTCCTTTCCCTTCCCAATGCTTTAAAAAACTACCTACTGTGCTTGGACTGTAGGGAAAGAACCCAGGCAGTGGGCTGGGGAAAAAAAACTCATGTCCCCACTCCTACAGACTCAGCACACTTCAGTTCAAAGGCTATAACCTAATTTTGGTCACATTGAGTTCTCAGAAAGAAGAAAGAAAAAAACATTCACAAGTCCTCAGCAGATAATCTCTAAGCCTCTGCTGTCTTTGTGCAAGTCTGGCACCATAGGGACGTTACATCCTGTGTGAAGCACATTGGGGAAGGTGGGGGCAGTCACTGCTTCTCGGGCCTCTAGGTTTCGCTTGTGCTGTTTCCTGTGTGGAAAGCCAACCCCCTAGGGAATCTCTGAGGCTCAGTTCAAATGTCATTTCCTCTATGAAGCTTTCTCCCACACGTCTATTTGCCCAAGCCACACCTCCATTTGTCCCTCCTCTGGTTTCCTAATCCCTGTTGTGGAACTCATCATACTATCCAATCGATTTTTTATCATCTCCACCAGACTTCTGAGTGCTGAGACAATGTCCTATCCTTCTCTTTATCCCAATGCCTCGTATAGTGTTCCTGTAAATGCTTATCAAGTGATGGGAGGTGAAAAGGAAAAGCGATGGAATTTAGCCAGTAATAACTGGTTCTTGGAAGTAAAAATACGTCATGGCTCAAAATTGGGCACAAAATCCAATAGCAGATGGGTGTCAGAAAAGTGGGAAACACTTTGGTTCCAGAGAAACCTCTGAAGGCTGCTCTACCCTCTGATAGGTCAGAACGTCTTCCTTGAGCGTAACAGGCTCAGACATACTTCCTGCTCAGACCTGCACTACCTGCTTCTCTAACAAGCTGCCTGCCTCCATTCTGGCTGACCAACAAACAGCTGGTTACATACCACAACAGCTCACACGTCAGCAGTATCACAGTGACTGACAGGTGTTGAAGAGCTAGGGAAAGGAATTAAGTGGACAGAAGATCCTTTTTTTCTTTTTGAGATAGAGTCTCACTCTGTGCCCTGGGTTGAGTGCCATGACATTAACATACCTCACAGCAACCTCAAAATCTTGGGCTCAAGCAATCCTTCCACCTCAGCCTCCCAAGTAGCTGGGACTACAGATGCCCACCACAATGCCCAGCTAGTTTTTTCTATTTTTAATAGAGATGGGGTTTAACTCTTGCTCAGGCTGGTCTTGAACTCCTGAGCTCAAGCAATCTGCTGGCCTCAGCCTCCCAGAATGCTAGGATTACAGGCGTGAGCCACTGCCTCTGGCCCTGGAGAGAAGATTCAATTTTAAGCATTGTGCCTTTAAGCTTCCCAGCTTCTCTGGACTTAAAGAAAGGTATAATCAAAGACACATACAAACATGAATTTCTAATGGGCAGGTGGGGGTAGCACCTCTAAGGGCAGTGAGCTTCTGGTTCTTCTCTGATGGGCTTATTATGTGCAGCCGACTGACATCACAGCACTTTGGCTCTGAAGCTTTCCCAGAAGGCACAGCCTGACTGAACTACTGAAGGGACTGAACATGATAATACCTTCCCTGCTTCTTTGTACTCTTCTCCCTGCCCAATAACCAATCCTTCCTACCCTCTAGTCGCTTCTGCTTTGCCCCAGGACACATTCTTTCACCATAGAGACATTTAAATCTCAAGCAGAGTAGCCCTCTGCAGTCCTAGCACAAGAAGCCTCAAGTACCCCTTAGTTAAATGAGTAGGTATTCACCATGAAGGGCAAGCTCGTTAGGGAAACTCCCCCATCCCTTAACCAATCTCTTTATCTAAACTCTCCAACTGGAGATTTGTTAAGAAATACATTAGAATCCCCAAAGATATATGAAGGATTATATTTATATCTTTGGCTTAATATTATGCCCAAATTGTGTGACTATGCTGTGACTCACAGACAGAACCTGTGTATATGTTTTCTTTAGGCATTCTCCAAGTTGTTAATCTTTGACTTGTATACATCCTATTTATAGTCATTATTTACCCAACTCAAGGTTTTTACAACACTTAGCAACTAAACTACCTTGAGCAACAGCACCATCTAGTGATCTGTACAGCAAAATATCTGCGTTTTCCAATCACATCTTTATTTGAACCCCTTTAATCAAGACACATATACTTAACCCCTTTTCTGCTGCTCAAATAACAGAGGTTAATCCCAGCAATTCCCTCACACACCTTCAATATCTTTAACTCCTTTTACCTTTTCCCATTTCTTTGACCTCTTCCTCAGTTCAAGAATCATTAATCTGACTCTTTCCCTACCAAAAAAATTATTAAAATCTCAAATAAATTCTTTGTCAAAAGTAGGTATTCTCACACTCACTCACCTTTTCTTTCCCTAGTGAGGACAATTCGTCGTTCTTTCACTTCTGAGCTCAGATTATCTACCATTTTATTAATGCAATTGTCTAGAACCAGGGAATGGGTTTTGGACTCGATGTCCTTCCGACAAATGGGGCATTCTATCTTTCGCTTCATCCATTCATTGATACAGTAGGAACAGAAACTGTGGGCACAGTTCAAGGTAACAGCCTAAAATGGAAATGTGAACATACACATCAGAACCATCATACTTCACTTTCTTCGAGTAGTTATGATTGCCAAGGTAGGACAGGAGCTAATTTTCAAGGCCAAATGAAAAGTTAACTTACCACAATCTCATCTTTTTTCATTTTTTTTTTTTATTTTTTGAGACAGAGTCTCACTTTGTCACCCTTGGTAGAGTGCCTTGGTGTCACAGTTCACAGCAACCTCAAAGTCTTGGGCTTAAGCGATTCTCTTGCCTCAGCCTCCCAAGTAGCTGGGACTACAAGTGCCCACCACAATGCCCGGCTATTTTTTGTTGCAGTTGTCAACAACAAAATTGTTGTTTGGCTGGCCTGGGCCAGGTTCAAACCCTCCAGCCTCAGTGCATGTGGCTGGCACCATAAACACTGTGCTACAGGCGCCAAGCCCACAATCTCATCTTGAGGGTATACAAAGAGTATTGGAGACAGGGTCTCCCAGCCTAGAGCACAATGGCTAGATTATAGCTCACTGCAGCCTCAAACTCCTGGGCTCTAGCAATCCTACCTTGGCCTCCCAAGGTGTTAAGATTATAGTTGTGAGCAACACTGCAGCCAGCAGAGTGGGAAAGTTTTAAACTTTATGTTAAGACAACTCTTTTCTTCCTTTCTCAAAGTTATGGACTCAGGTTCTGGGTAGGTTGACTTGTCTGTTTTGATTCACTGATTCAGATAACACTGTCAACATGGTTTAGCCACCTTGTAAACAGATGTCCATGGATACAATTAGGACAAATACGTCAATGTTGTAGTACAAATACATTACTAATTCTCTTATGAGAAACAAATTTATGCCCTGCTAATAGTGAATTAAAACTTCAATTTTAATATATGAAGGGGAGTACAGACCAAATACTTAGCATATAGAATGCAGAAGCATCATCTCTAAAGAATCCAAAAAAGTAAAATAACATAAAAGACACTTAAAAAGCCTGGGCAAAAAAAGGAACTGAAAAATGTAAAAACTGTAATGGGTTCACTGACAGTGCCTGAACCTCTAAGTAGATATGCCTAGGGGGAAAGAAAACAGAAGGAAACCTGTATTTGAGAGGCTCTTCTGAGTGATCCCCCTGGTCAGATTTCTGCCAGGGCTCTTTTCACTCCCAAGAATATAAACCATTCTCTTTTTGTTATTTTTGTATATGTACATCTCCTAAGAGACAACTCTTTGCTCAAAAGTTCTCATTCCTGCTTTTAGAACAGCAATGGAAAATAACACAGATATAGATTTTTCAAATACCAAATTGAACCCATAAAGCTAGAAAACTAGGCAATACTGTGTTTGCTATATAAGATAAACTAATAAACAGGACTAACAACCTGCTGGAAACATCTTTATGACTTTTAGAGGACACTGGGAGGGTTAAGTCAGTTAGTATTCTATATCAAGACATAGGTCAAGTTGTTTATCTCATAGATGTCTGTGCAGATGCTCTCAGTTAATTAATGTGTCACCCATTCCAACCTTCTCTCCTCGTATTCCTCTACTAGAGTCCATAAGCTCTGCCAAAACGAGTGAGTGTTCTACAAAGCAGGAAATTATATGACTAGAAACCATGGGGAAACTTACGATCTGAAGTCTAAATGGATCCAGAGAAAAAGAAATAAGTCTGCCCAGAGATTTTTCAGGAGGCTAATAGGCCCAATCTCCCTAAAGACTGCCTGAAAAAAGGAAGCAGTGTGGATATGTATTTTCCTTTTCAAAGGAGTATGAAAAGTACATACATAACAACCTGAGTTTAATACTTGTGGTTCTAAGATGAACTGGTTACAAATGGCAGAATATGTAAAAAATAAAAGAGATGGTATAAAAATATGACAGGATAACAAATGGCAGCCTAGGGGAGAAATGTTTCATTTTCCTAAGGAGCCTCAGAGTCCCTGTAATATATTCATTTGGTGCCTGTATTTCCAATGTCACATCAGTGACATTTACCATCCTGCTTAAAAGGCTGCACTACAAGTGTAGTCTCAGCATTGTGCCCATTCAGAGTAAAGAAAATATAGCTTTACTAAGCAGTTCTATTCTGATTCTTCAAAAATCTAATGCCACGTGGCCCTGTTTCTCCCCAACAATAAAGACATAAAGGCTTTACTACAGCTAAAAATGTTAATTACACCAAATATTTAAGAATAGATGAAATACAAAAGAGGACAGCAGATTACTAAAACAAACGAGAAGTGGCCATCTCTAGAGGTTACTTTAAAATCAAACAGCCAGAAGGTCTTGGAAGAAAAATCTCTTATTACCTCAATGAAGTATTCTGAGCAAATAATACACTGGAGCTCATTCTCTAACACATCAGTCATGTGGCTAAGAACTTCTTCCTTCTGCGCTTGTACCTTCTCCTTCTCTTCCTGCAAAGATACAGCCCCACCTGTTATTCTGAGAGAACCAACTAGAATGAAAAATAGGACAAGGAAAAGGGTTAACTGTCTGGAATAGGATTCAGAAAAAGTCTTAATTAATGATTCATTGTAGCACAGCAACATGAGAATAAAATTTTCCCCAAGGATTACTATTTCTCAAGAATTGCTTTCTTTTTGTTTTTTTGAGACAGAATCTCATTTTTGTCAACCTCGGTAAAGTGCTGTGGCGTAATAGCTCATAGCAACCTTAGACTCTCGGGCTCAAGTGATTCTCCTGTCTCAGCCTCCCAATTAGCTAGGACTACAGGCGCCTGCCACAACACCCAGCTATTTTTTGGAGATGGAGTCTCACACTTGCTCTGGCTAGTCTTGAATCTGTGAGTTCAGGCAATCTACCAGGCTCTGCATCCCAGAGTGCTAGGATTTCAGGCGTGAGCCACCATGTCTGGCCCAAGAATTGCTTTCTAATATGCAGTGCTAACTTCCTTTCTTATCTCTCTCCACATGCTATGGTCTGAATGTTTGTGTTTGTGAAAAATTCTAATGTTGAAACTTAATCATCCCCAAAGTGACAGTATTAAGAGGTAAGGACTTTGGGAGGTAACTAGGTCATGAGAGCTGTTACTGATAGGGTTAATGGTCTTATAAAAGGTGCCTGAAGGAGCTTGTCTGCCCGTTTCACTGTTCATAGGAGAAAATATCTATAAATCAGAAGACAGCCCTCATCAGATACCTAATCTGCCAGCACCTTGTTCTCAGATTCCCAGCCTCAAGATCTGTGAGAAATAAACTTCTATTGTTTATAACCTATCCAGTTTTTGGTATTTTCTTATAACAGCCCGAATGGACTGAACCACCATTTTTTCATTATTTGCATTATAAGTCCATCTCCTCCCCCAAAATTAGCCAAAGAGAAAAAACAAAGGTGGCATACCACCTCACTAACCACCCAAGATCAGATAGGACATTAAGTATTCAATAGCAAGCTGCAGTTCAGAGGTAATATCAAATCATCCCAAACAACTAAAAACTCACTGGATTAAAAAAAAAAAAAAGCCATAAAGAACAGTCCAGAGAAGCAGGAAGCTTGAATAAGATCCCCACATTCTTCATAGCTGCCTCTTCGAGCATAAAGACAGCCTCTTGAAGCACCTTTAGGCTCCATCCCCTACAATGCTTGCCATTTCCCACTCCTGCAGGTTGAGGTCAAGGTTGAGGTCTGCAGTGAGCAATTTCCTTGTGCCTTCCCCCAAAGGTCAGACTGCTTAGGGATATACTTTTTAAAGAAGAGCCTAGGTGTGCTCTCATAAAGCAGACATTTATTTTAGTACCTTATTCCCCAAACAGAAAGCATCAAGAGCTTCTAACAGGGAGAGGAAAAGCCATTCAGGGTATATTTGAGTAGTTGGCTCATTTTTCATTTATTCTTTACTACTAAAAAAAAAGACTGTCAGACTGTTTAGGGCAGTGAAGAGGGTCTAGATCCATTTCTAACTAGAGTCAAGTTCCCTAAAACCTTATGAATCACTGGATTTTAAAAGGTGTGGCACTTTCTTAAATGTTGGAGAAGAAGGTACTGTGTGATTTAAACAGAGGATAAAGGGCAGCACACAGTGGCTCGTGCCTGTAATCCTAGCACTCTGGGAGGCTGAGGCGGGTGAATTCTTTGAGACCAGCTTGAGCAAGAGTAAGACCCCATCTCTACTAAAAACAAAAAATAAAAAAAATTAGCAGGGCATTGTGACAGGTGCCTGTGGTCCCAGCTATAGGAAGATTGAGGTTAAGATTGAGGAAGACTGAGCCTGGGAGTTTTGATTTTTGAGTCTCGCTCTGATGCCCTGGGTAGAGTGCTATAGCATCATAGCTCACAGTAACCTCAAACTCCTGGGTTCAAGCAATCCTCTTGCCTCAGCCTCCCAAGTAGCTGAGACTATAGGAGCCTGCCATGATGCCCAGCTAGTTTTTCTATTTTTAATAGAAACAGGGTCTCACTCTTGCTCAGGCTGGTTTTGAACTCCTGAGCTCAAGCAATCCACCCATCTCATCCTCCCAGAGTGCTAGTATCATGAGTCACTAGTGCTCAGAGTGCTAGTAGGCACGAGTACTGCACTGTCCAGGAGTTTGAGGTTGCTATGAGCTATGATGCCCTGGCACTCTAGCCTAAGGCAACAGAGTAAGACACTGTCTCAAAAAATAAATAAATAAAATAATAAATAGTGCATAAAGATATCAAACCAACTAAAAAGAAAGTTTCTTCCTTTCAGTATTCAGCTATAGATATGTGGAATAGGGAAAGATGAGAAAGTCAGAGTTAGGTTGCAAACTGGTGGCCTGTACACTGGAACTAGCCTGTAGACTCATTTACTTTGCCTTTGAGGTATTTAAAAACATATACAAACTGAACTTACTGCCAATGTTTGAAAACAGGCCAGGCATAGTAGCTCACTCCTGTAATCCTAGCAATCTGGGAAGCTGAGATGGACGGATCCCTCGAGCTCAGGAGTTTGAGATTAGCCTGAGAAAGAGTGAGATCGCATATCTACTAAACATAGGAAAATTAGCTGGGTGTTGTGGTGGGCATCTGTAGTCCCAGTGACTTGGGAGGCTAAGACAGAAAGATCACTTGAGGTTGTGGTGAGCAAGGCTGACACTATAGCACTTTATCCTGGGCAACAGACTAAGACTGTCTCGGAAAAAGAAGAAAATTGGGTAGCAGCCGATTTCCATTTCTTGTGGAAAAATCAAGAAGATCAAACAACACTAGGCCTACATTTCTGCATGGCAACAACTGGCTGAACAGCTGCCTCCTGGGGCTTGGGGGGAATATCCCCAATCCAGTGAGCCAGTCTTCATAGTTTTCTATTACATTCTGTTTTCTTTCTCTTTACATAAATTAACACATTTATCATAAGCTAGTGATAGCTGAAAAAGTTGGAGCTTCATCAATTGGTCTTTCAATTCCTTCAGTTTTCTGATGGTGGACTTTACCGTAACAGCAGAAGTAGTTGCAGGTCCAGGCACCCCCTACTAGTGTTTTCATGCAGGAACCACAGTGCCAGATCCCCAAAGCTTGTCTCTTCATCTTGGCTTTCCCATAGAAAGAGCAAGCGTACTTGGCGTGCTGGCTGATTTCAATTTTCTTCATCATTTTCTGGAGAGAGGCACCATAATGGGTCCCTTATTTTCAGATGATCCCACCCTTCTTGGTGCGTTTAGCCGTGTTGCCAGGAACCAGGTCTGAGACTACAGAGGAAGGACTCTACTACTTTCTCATAGCCAACTCACTTTTATTACCCATCTGGCCCTGGTGGGCATTCAAGTTTCTACCTCCGAATTTAAGAATTCTATTGATTTGAAAAAAAAAAAGAAATGGTAGATGAACACATCAGGAGGAACTATTTTTTATTTTCACTACAATACTCCTTAGTCTGTACCAGTGTGACACACCCTTAAAAAGCATTCATCATACACAAAGGACTAGAATACAGAGTATAAGTGCCTTATTCCCAATATTTTGTTTCTGAATAAAGGAAGGAAAAGATATTGTCTTACAGGCTGAACCTTCTACAGCCCTGAATAATTTTATGGATTATTTCCCCTGAGGCAAGGAGCAGCCATAATTTTCCCCTTCACCATAGCAACCCTTGCACTGTTAAAAATGCCGAGTTGCATGTACTAACCAAATTCTAAACCTCCATCTTCCTTCCAGTACCTTGGTCTGTTCCAATTCTTTGTTCTTGGCTTGAATGATTGCTTCGAAGTCCTTCTTGCTGCGATTTAGCTCTTCCATTAGGGCCCGATGCTACAGAAACAAAGCAGGTACACAATCAGGATGAACTATATGGCATCCTTCCTTTTCTCTTCCTCCATTCCTGCTCCTTCCCTCTACTAAGTGACTTGTTGCAAAGATCAATGAATTAGTAATTTCAAAATAATGCCTTCATCCTACCAGGAAATCCTACCTGCTGCTTTCTTTAGGAAAGGAGGCAGATAGGGAGGGAGGCCACCAAATTTGTTAGTCCTTCCAAAACTAACCCAACATCAGTGACCAAGAAAAATGAAGAACTTTCACTGCCTTCCACAGAGTCTGATTCTGAAGGTTGGTCTTAAAGCTAGGAAATGTGCAATTTTGTATAAAAAAGTCATCAGGTGATTCTGGGAACCAGTGCTTATGAACTAGTAAGTTAACTATGTGCTATCCAGCCCTGGGAGTAGCTTTTAAAAAATAATCAGGGAAATGGGATTCAGGGAACCTAGATGGTTGTTTTCATATAAATTAAAAAGGTCTTTAACCTATTTATTCTACAAATTACACACTACATGTTCATAAGACAATGCTGCCTGAACTCTCCCAGTATCTTCTGAAAGATGGCATGCCCAAGCTAATAACTCACTCATTGTGACCAATCACCTATACTACATGTCAAGAAGTTCTACATCTATGAAACATAATTTATGAGTTCCCTCATGCTTAAATACAGCTTACAATTTAGAATTTTACCTCAAATCCTTGAAAGCAGAGTAAAGCTAAGTATTTTTGAAAATATATTACTGTCTCCCCAAAAAGCAGTTAGGTCAGAAGGCCTGAGTCTTTATCTTGACCACTAGTTAGATATATATATATATATGCCTTAACTTTCCCATCTACAAAATGGGGAAATAAAGACCCTCTCCTACCTCAACACTGATACAAAAATAAAACAACAGATATGAAAAGCATTCAGAAAGTTTCTTAAGCTCTATTTAAATGCAAAATTTTATTATAGTTTGGTAAAGAACAGCTTCAAAGGGACCAGCATGGTGGAACAAAAACCAGCCACTCCTTCATTTAAGAGTGACACATCCCCCACACATGAGGATGTAGAACCATAACCTGAAGTATCACATTTTAAGGTAATAAATGCATGGCCAAGTATGCCCTGCTAAATGATAGTACGTTTTCCAGTCTGTCTCAGAAGAAGGTAAGGAGTTATGGATGCAAGGTACTCCAAAAATTAAGAAAAAAGAAAAGGGTACTCGATGACACCCCCCCCAAGGATTTCCAAAAAGAACCATATTCTTTTCAGTTAATTTCAAAACAACATCTGAATATTAATTTTATAATGGTCTAAATGGCAAACATGCCTACTCTACCAACCTAGAAAATAAATAAGCTCAAAAAATTCAATTCCAAAAAGATTGGATTTATTTTTACCTAATTCTTTCCAAAGCTGTTTGTGTAAACTGTTAAGAAAATTAAGGCCGACATCCTGTCATGCTTACAATGACTATGTGACAGCTAGCACCATAAGGTTGGGAAGTAGGTATGTAATAAAAGAATGAAAGAATAAAAGGATAAATTCCTCTGAACAAATTCTTATGCTACTTGCCCACTTTTTGTAAGGAAATCTGAACCATCTCCCTAAACTCCTGATTAAATATGCATCAAACTATTCATCATGATAAAGAACACAAAGGTTTTAAAGATGCCAAAGAACACATAAAAAATAATCAAATGAATAATTTTTTTTTTCTTTGAGACAGAATTTCACTTTGTCACCCTTGGTAAAGTGCCATGGCATTATAGTTCACAACAACCTCAAACTCCTGGGCTCAAGCGATTCATTTGCCTCAGCCTCCCAAGTAGCTGGGAATACAGGCACCTGCCACAATGCCTGGCTATTTTTTAGAGACGGGGTGTTGCTCTTGCTCAGGCTGGTCTTGAACTCGAGAGCTCAAGCAATCCACCTGCCTCAGCCTCCCAGAATGCTAGGATTACAGGCATGAGCCACCGCACCCAGCCAAGTAGTCAAATTAAATGAAATAAATTATATGCAATCTTTTAGGGGAATTTTATTCCTGTTGAGCTTTGCTTTAGTGTTAAATAGATATGTCTTGTTCTTGGTTAACTGTTTAAACTACACATTCTAGGTTGGGTGTGGTGGTTCACGCCTGTAATCCGAGGAGTGGGAGGCTGAGGCAGGTGGACTGCCTAAGCTCATAGGTCCGAGACAAGCCTGAGCAAGAGGAAGATCTCGTCTCTAAGAAGAGCCAGATGTTGTGGTGGGCACCTGTAGTCCCAGCTACTCAGGAGGCTGAGGCAAGATAATTGCTTCAGCCTAAGAGTCTGAGGTTGCTGTGAGCTATGATGCCACAGTATTCTACCAGGGGCAACAAAGTGAGATTCTGTCTCAAAAATAAATAAATAAACTGCACATTCTCAAATGTGGATGGCTACTGCTCAGAGGTTAGTGAGGTAATGGAGGTTCCCGCAGGCCCTGGTGGCCAAGTTATAACTCACATTTCCCCCCTGCTGTCCTCACCTCTCTGAAAGTGAAGCCACTTTCCCAGAGAGCAACCTAATTGCTAAGGCTCCATTCCATCTTCACCAGAGCAACTTCTGCTCAGATGAAGATATAAGTTTTCATGCTGAGTTTTGGCATGTCTGTGAGGCTCCAAATCTCCGACCTGATGGTGCTAGCAGCTGCCACCTGCTCTGTTGACAGACTGGAGATGCCACAGAGGTATGGGGTAAGCAGCAGAGGCAGCCAGTGGCCACGTGATGCCTGGCTGCTCCCCCACTTGGCAGCCCACTATAATCTCAGTATGGTGTCATGAGATAAGTTACCTCCTGTAGAGCCTGGGCCAGCTGTTGCTTCAGGTCCTCTTCTCCCTGCTCTTTTTCCAAGCCCTGAAAAGCCAAAACAAAATGAAGGTTTCTCAGTGGGATGGGGAAAAAGGAATAAAATCCAGCAACAAGCCAAGCACACTAGCTAGTGTGAGCATCTGGAAACAACAGGGTGCAGGGAGCAGGCAGAAAATCTCCCGTTTTACTTCAAGCTGTTGGCAGTAAAGGATTTAAGCAGAGTTACCTGCTCAAATATTGCACAACTCCAGGCTGTCAACTTCAAGTCACCACTCTGGGTAATCTGAAAAATCTATGGGCTAACAGCTCAAGTCTCATTCATTAGCCAATGCTATGATTCCCAAAAGGATATAACCTGAGAACTTCAGAGCCACCAAATGTCCAAACTCAGCCAGAATCCCCTACACTGGCACTCAGAAGATGTACCATGTTTCTTCCCTCTATTCTAGCTAACCTGCCTCTAGTCTCAGTCTCATTACCATTTTCAGTCTATATGCTGTTCCTCCTCTCTTTGCATAAACTTATGCTATATTTCTTCCATCAGCCCTCTCTAATGTGGTTGTTTTCCAGAACATCACTGACCTATGTCCAGTACCTTCCACAAGAAACTTTAGGCCCATTCCGCCTTAAGAATTATTTACCCATTTAACATGCCATTTTGAAATTGTTCTCTAGTTTACTATACTCACTGAAAACTACTCTCTGTTTATAGTGTATGTGTGATACATGAGAATTCTGTAGTGCCAGGCAATATGGGGTGCTCAAAAAAAAGAAAAACAAAACCAAACCCTACATAAAGCAGCAAGGATTGAACAAATTTCTGAACAAGTAGTAGTAGGGGTAGGATAAATCCCTAGGGCTTGGTAGGCAGAGGGAAATACAGTTAATAATATACATGAACAACTCATACCTACAAAAATCCTCTAAACCAATCCTTTTCACTTTTAACATTTTACATAAAAAGACTTTGCAGCTACATCTTGAAGGATGCCTAGAACAGCCACAAATATTAATCGATAGTAACTCTTGTTCCTAAACACATTAGCCTTTTAAAGAGAGTTCTGCTCTGGTAAAGGTATGATATGGAGAGATAAACCAATCTCTATTAATTTCAAGAATTAAATTCCTCTAGGCCTGATAAAAGAAGCAAAAAGATACACACAAGCAACCAATGTACACCCTTAAAAGATCTATTTAATCCATGGTCTTTACTAATACTACCCATTTGAGGGGATAGCAGAGATCAGAATTAAATTTATAAATTGTTCAGAAATAAGCCAACATTACTCCTGGTTGTCCTTACCCTGAGCAATTCAAACATAAGGTAAAAGCTATTCGGGCAGTGCCTGCGGCTCAGTGGGTGGAGCACTGGCCCCATATACCAAGGGTGGCGGGTCTGAACCTGGCCCCGGCCAAACTGCAACAACAACAACAAAATAGCTGGGCGTTGCGGTGGGGACCTGTAGTCCCAGCTGCTCAAGATGCTGAGGCAAGAGAATCGTCTAAGCCCAGGAGTTGGAGGTTGCTGTGAGCTGGGATGCCACAGCACTCTACCCAGAGCAATAAAGTGAGACTCTGGCTCTTAAAAAAAAATAAATAAGGGCAGCACCTGTGGCTCAAAGGAGTAGGGCACTGGCCCCATATGCCGGAGGTGGCAGGTTCAAACCCAGCCCCGGCAAAAAAAAAATAATAATAATAAATAAATAAATAAATAAAAGCTATTCACTTCAGTTGTGATTGGCCCTTCTGAGTTCTAAGTCAACGATGGGGAATTCTTGACATTCAATATTACCTGGGTGGAAGTAAAACATGTGGTTCCTACCAGATGGGAAATGACATTTAGAGCAGGGACAAGATCAGCTCTAGCCTAAAGCTTCGTGCAAGAGCTTGTCATTTAAGCAAATGACTCAGGGATGGGAACACATTGGTCTTACCCCAACACAGCTAAGCCAGTTGATATTTTACCTTCTTACCGGAAGGTGGCTTATCATTCAACTCAACAATGCAACTCATTGGTATACCTGTCCCTCGAATGCTAGCTATTAAGGATAGAAACACATTTTCTGCCTTTTAACCCCGCCCCACCTCCTAAGTTAGCTACAGAGTTAACTAACCTTCATAGTGAACAAACTCTCAGATACAACAAGAGCAGAAGAACCAGCTGACCTGTACCTATCTGCCTTAGAACTAAATGATTTGGCTTTGACCACAGAGCAAATAGAGGATGGGGGAACCTCTGGCCTTGGGCCACAGGTGGCTTTCTGGATCCTTCAGTGTGTGACTGAATCTAAATTTTACAGAACAAATTAGAATGGCATCTCAACCTTCATCCAACTTCTCCGAGTTTATCTTGGTTGTGAAGACCTCAGCTTTGTATCTTGAAATCAGTTAATCCTGGCTGGCTCTACTGTCACCTTATCCTACCTTGGTACCCTAACTCTGGCTCCTGATCTCATCAGTATCTTAAGCCTTAACTCTTTACTCAATCCCCTTTTTTTATTTCAAAGTTTTCTGTTCACATTCCATTTCCTATCCCTGGTGCTCTGCATTTGGGATCTAGCCCAGAAACTGTAAGGTCTGGCTAGAGGTTCATGAAATACCTGCCCACTGAAGGCACTCTTGCTTTCCCTCCCCTGGGCTACCTGGAGATGCTGCTCCTCCTCCTGGAAAGTCTTCTCCAGCTGCTCCACTCTTGCCTGCTGCTGCGCCTGCTCTGCACATAGCTGGGACTGTAAGTCCTGCAGTTCCTGCTCCATTTTCACAATTTTCTTTGAGCTCCCCTTTGGGGTCTGCTTTTTTACATTCAGAACAGCCAACTGTTTTTCATGCATCTGTGTTTTCAGCTTCAGAATCCTGGACATGGTCACCTTAAAGAGCTCTAAGCTGCTCTGAGATGTTGAAGGGTTTGAGGCTTTCTCCTTATGATGAAGCTCTAAGACTTCTGGGAGGCCAGAATAAACATGAGTCCTTGTGTTCTTTTCATTTGGCTCAAGAGAAGTCAACTTAGGATCCAAACACTCAGAGAGCTGATTGGACACTTCACCTTTCCCATGAGACTTCACTAGCTGACCAATTTTGCAAGAGACTTTACTTATTTTGGATTTTAGATTTGAGGGTCCTTCAGCTCCAGAACCCTCATCCAAACTAAATTTCCTTTTAGTTCTCAAGCTCTTATTTTTATCTATCATCTGATCATCCTTTGGGAAAAGACAGGGATATATTCTCTCCCAGTCTTCTTCAGTAACTTCATATTCATACTCTGCATTCTCTTTATTTTCCAGAGGCACGCCAAGCTGGATGTGGTCTCCTTTATGGATGGAATAGACCTTTAAAGGTTCCAGACGTTCTCTGTTCAGCCAAACACCATTCAGACTCTGGGGAAAGGGAAAGACAGACAAAATAAACCCATGATTTTCCTCCTCTTTTTTTACTTTTATTTATTTTTGTTGTTGTTGCAGTTTTGGCCAAGGCCGGGTTTGAACCTGCCACCCTCAGTATATGGGACCAGTGCCCTACTCTCTAAGCCACAGGCACCGCCTGATTTTCTTCCTCTTAATAGAACTTTTCTCCTGCTGCTGGAAAATCTTCTGCCTTTTCAGAAGGAAAATCTTAAGAAAAGGAGAGAAAGGAAAAGGAAAAGGAAACGAAAGGAAAGGAAAAAGGAAAAGAACAGAACAGAAAAGAAAAGGCTCATAGCCCACCATCCTTAGATAATAGGACAGTGCTTTGGGGCCAGACACAGTGGCTCATGCCTGTAATCTTAGCATTCTGGAAGGCTGAGGCAAGTGGATCATTTGAGCTCTGAAGTTCCTAACCAGCCTGAGCAAGAGTGAGACCCCTATCTCTACTAAAAGTAGAAAAACTAGCCAAGCATGGTGGCAGGTACCTATAGTCTCAGCTACTCAGGAGGCTGAGACAAGAGGATCACTTGAGCCCAAGAGTTTGAAGTTGCTGTAAGCTACGACGATGCCACAGCACTCTACCCAAGTCAAGTGAGTGAGACTCTGTCTCCAAAAAAAGCAAGGCTTGGCGTCTGTACTTCAGCGGCTAGGTCACCAGCCACATACCCCAGAGCTGGTGGGTTCAAACCCAGCCCAGGCCTGCCAAACAACCATAGCAACTACAATTAAAAAAAAAAAAAAGGCCAAGTGTTGTGGCAGGTGCCTGTAGTCCCAGCAACTTGGGAGGCTGAGGCGACAGAATCGCTTAAGTCCAAGAGTTTGAGGTTGCTGTGAGCTGTGACAGCATGGCACTCTATCAAGGGTGACATAGTTTACTCTCAAAAAACAAAACAAAAACAAAAATCACGAGCAAAAAAAACCAGTGCTTCAGTTTTTACATATATTTCACATTCGGCTCGGCGCCTGTGGCTCAATCGGCTAAGGCGCCAGCCACGTACACCTAAGGTGGCGGGTTCAAATCCCCAGCCCGGGCCCGCCAAACAACGATGGCTGCAACCAAAAAATGGCCGGGCGTTGTGGCGGGCGCCTGTGGTCCCAGCTACTTGGGAGGTGGAGGCAGGAGACTCGCTTGAGCCCAGGAGTTGGAGGTTGCTGTGAGCAGTGAAGCCATAGCACTCTACCCAGGGGGACAGCTTGAGGCTCTGTCTCAAAAAACAAAACAAAACAAAAAAAACATACTTCACATTCATGCCTCCACAGAATACCTGCCTGTATAAAAGGCAGGAATCATTTTATTCCTGGTGGAGGATTTACTCAAACAGATGGAACAGCACTAAAATAAATGGAAAATAGATTGCTCTTATTACCTAAACTGGAGGCAATGGCCCCAAAGTGGAAAAAAAATGCTATTCGTGAAGGAAAGAGATCTAATGTTAAGGGCCATGAAACAGGCTTGGTCAGGAATGTCATTCAAGTACTGTCTCTGGATGTGGTCCCCCAACACATTGGTGAACAAGCAAGGCACTTCCCAATACACATAAACAGAAAAAAAGACAGAGTACCATACCTTGTACTGAGGTCAAATGGCAGGTGGGACCTACTCCAATTAATACCAGCAAAGGATCATACAGGATAGTGATTAAAACACTCTCTGGCTCAGCATCTGTAGCTCAGTGACTAGGGCGCCAGCCACATACACTGGGGCTGGTGAGCTTGAGCCTGGCCTAGGTCTGCTAAACAACAATGACAACTACAACAAAAAAAATAGCCAGGCGTTGTGGCAGGTGCCTGTAGTCCCAGCTACTTGGGAGGCTGAGGCAACAGAATTGTTAAGTCCACAAGTTTGAGGTTGCTGTGAGCTGTGTGACGCCATGGCACTCTGCTGAGGGTGACATAGTAAAACTCTGTCTCTCAAAAAAAAACCTAGAGCTCTGAACTCAGACACTGGCTCACAGCCCAAGTGCACCACTCTAGGTATATTAGTTACATGGCCTTTGGCAATTTAATTAACCTCTTTATGCCCCAGTTTTGTCTGTAGAATAGTAATACAGGTCCAGTACCTTCCTCACACGGTTCCTATGAGTAATGAGTGATATAATACATATAAAACACCTAGCACAGTGACCTGCATATAATAAACAGACACCACCTTTGCACTGTCCAGGAGGGTCAGCCTCCCCTGTAGCCTTGTCTCTGGGGGCCACCGCTTACACCTTTCAGTAAATATATCAAATGCAAAAGTGGACGATATGGCTGTGTAAAGGACAACACAAGGGCACAAATAAATAAATGTGAGGTTACCTAGCATGTCCTATAAATGTATAGGAATATCATGTGGAGCTGGATTAGCCAAGAGATGCTAAATGGAAATGATAGGTCCTAAAATAGATTTGAAACAAATGCATGATTTGGAGTTAAAAGATACTAGTCGGCATTTTAACCCACAATAAGGACTTAAATTTGGTGGACAGGCCAGAGATGAAGCTCACTTCTGAGTTGAGATTAAGACTAATATTTGTACTGACAACTATAGCTACCTACTTTCAGTCAGAAAAAAAATCCCTGGTCAATCCAAATATGAGGGACAGGGGGCTTGACCACAAAGCACAGAGGAAGAAGGAAAGTAGGGTTCAGATCTTAGCTCTGGTTTGGCATTAGGCTCTTGTTTCCAGTTTTATCTTATATTAATGGTTTGAGCTGAAGACTGGTCTAACCTGGCTCATCTAGCCAATCCTCTCCTACCCTTTCTATTCAGCTTGAGAAACTATAGGGAGTGATCAGTTCTGCTGACTTCCAAAATAATACATGGGAAAATAACAAAGAAAGGGGATGGAGCCAGAACAATCTATTTGAGAACACTTTTAGAGCAGAATAGTCGATTTTAGATTACACACACAGGAAAAGGGTCTCATTAGTTAAGTAATGTAACATGGTGGGAGCTACCCAATACCAAAGTATAGAAATGTAAGAAAAGTCTCAGAGGCAGAGAAAAGGTAAAAGAAATAAAGTTACAGAAGTAGCCTAAGGTTAGAGAGAACAAGAGAACAAGTTGCTGGGGCAACTTCCAAGACATACTGCAAGCCCTCCGCTAGATCTCCTGCACTAACTTACCTCCTTTAGAGCCCTTTTAGTCTGGAAAATAAGCTCTCAAAATTTCCCGTCTCATTTGTCCTTGGATCCCTCTACATTTACCCATTCATCACTTCTTGGTGACACCTAGTGGTATAATTTGGACCATAGCCCTGAGTCAGGTCTGTTCACAAGGAGGCTACAGAAAAGAAGGAAAATCTCATGACTGTATACGAACAATCTAGTTCTGCACAGGTTATGATCTCAAATAAAATGGTTTAAAGAAATCATGCTTTGTTCCAATGCTTTCTTGATGTTGGTTTTCATAATTATCAGCTTGAACAATGTCGGCAACAGTAAAATGATACTACCAGAGGAAAGCCCACCAGATGTCTCTTGCTATCAAGGTGGGATAACTCACACCCCCTTAGACACAAATTACTTCACCTGCAGCTCAATCTCTGTCCAGCTGTTTTTATACAGTTGTTGTGCAGAGTGGAAACTCAAGGCCAAAGACACTGTTTTCTTGAAGTTTTCTAGATGAGTTATGCAGCTCATTGGTTTTTCAACCCTGACTATACAGTAAAATTCCTGGCTGTAAAGAAAAATCACCTAGGAAAGTTTAAAACAAATAGCAGTGTCTGAGTCTCATCTTTAGAGTGAGTTAATATGGTCTAATATGGGAACTAAGAAGGTTTATACACAAGCATATATAGTTGTGTAACTGTGTCAAGATACAGTGCCCCTTTGTAGTCAATTGTTCCCCCATCCCCAGGCAGCTACTCATCTGTTCTCTACCCTAGACCTGTCTGTGTTCGAATGCAACGTAAACGAGAATCATACAGTATGTACCCTTTTAAATCTAATGACTTCTTTTTTTGAGACAGTCTCTTTGTTGCCCTCGGTACAGTGTCACGGCGGCACAGCTCATAGCAACCTCAAACTCTTGGGCTGCAGTGATTCTCTTGCCTCAGCCTCCCAAGTAGCTGGGACTATAGATGCCCGCCACAGTGCCCAGCTATTTTTAGAGGCAAGGTCTCGCTATGGCTCAGACTAGTCTCGAACCTGTGAACTCAGGATATCCACCCATCTCGGCCTCCCAGAGTGCTAGGATTATAGGTGTGAGCCACTGCGCCTGCCCCAAATCTGTCTTCTTTAACTTAGTTTAATTTCTTTGAGATGCATCCATGTGGTGGCATTATCAGTAGTTATTTTTTATTGCTGAGTGACACTGAAGACATGTGTGTACCACAGTTTACCCATTCCCCACTTGTTTTTTTCCAGTTTTTGGTAAATATGAATAAAGCTACTATAAATATTCATATACAAGTTTCTGTGAGAATAAGTTATCATTAGTCTTGGGTAAATACTGACAAACATTGCTTGAACCCAGAAGTTTTGAGGCAGCAGTGAGCTGTTATTGGGCCACGGTTTACTCTAGCCTGTGTGACACAGTAAGACTTTATCTTTCAGGGGAAAAAACTTTTTTGAAACAAAACCAAACAAACAAAAAAAAAAGCAAAAACCAAAAAACCCACAAAACCACCAAATAGGTTTTCAAAGTGGAGGTACCATTTTATATTCCCATTTCCATAATTCCAGTTACTCTGAATGCTTGCCAGCACTTGCTATCCTGAGTTTTATTTTAGCAATTCTAATTCATGTGTATCAGTTAAGACTTTTTTAAAAACTTTTTTTTTTTGAGACAGAGTCTCACTCTGTCATCCTGAATAGAGTACCATGGCATCACAGCTCTTGGGCTCAAGCGATTCTCTTGCCTCAGCCTCCCAAGTAGTTAGGACTACAGGCGCCCACCACCATGCCTGGCTATTTTTAGAGATGAGGTCTCGCTTTGGCTGAGGCTGGTCTCCAACTCGTGAGCTCAGGAGATCCACCCACCTCAG